ATAAAGCAAATACTGGTAAGTGTGATTACATTAAGGTACTATTTTTGTTCATCGCAATTATCTTTTTAAAAACATATAGTCTTGTCGCACGCCCCTCCTTTCTAAACGATATCATTTTTTCGCATATCTGTAAATTCAATTGAGTTTTTATTCTTCTTTTCAAGGTTCACTTCAAAATACACTGCATGTTTTCTTACTGTTCTTACAGGTTTATTATTTATTTTGTTACATAAGGCATTGAGATGAAAAAACCTTTACTTTGTACTGTCAAAACAATGTAGAATGTATAATTTTACATCAATTGCAAGAGTAAAATAGTTCATACACCGATTTCATTTGTTGCATTGTTTGCAACCAATTAGTTACGTTTACGTCATCGTGTTGATTGTCAGCTACATAAAAAATCAAACTGTGTCTAAAAATTGTTCTATTTCGATGGAAAATAGTGCATATCTACTAATTTTTTTTTAATATACTTCGTACATTAATTGTACAGTGAAAGCGCACATTAAAAAAGGCTATTTTTTTAATTTATAGAAATATTAATGTACAAAGCTTTTTCGTCATTATTAACAATGCATTACACACATGTACATTACACCTAATCACCGGAGCATTATTCAAAATTACTTTGAAGAATTTTATATATAACAGCGTTGTTTTCAAATGGAAAATGAGTTATGCAATAATAATGTAATTGAGCTTTGCAACAAAATGTACAAGACAATGGATGTATCTTGCAACTAAAAACAATTTTATTATCGAGTAATATTAAAGTTTCTAGAAAGAAAATTCATTATTTGTATGACTTTTGTACATATTCCAGTAACAAAAAAAACGATTTTACATGATTAGTATATTTTATTTAATCCTTTTAATGGAATCTGGAAAAAAATGTTCCATTAATTTGGAGTATGCTTCTGAAAATAATTTAACGAAAGAAGATATATTGAGTAAAATAATTATTTATTGTAAAAACTGAGAATCCAATAAAGCAATCCAGATTAAAGCAACGTTCATATCTGCCGCTTACTTTTGTCTTACTTCGTGCATATATGGATATATATATGTCGCTTACTTATGTCTTCTGACATCTGGCAGAAAATATTTTGACCGTCTGCTCTAAAATTGTGATTGTGTCAATCATTCTATTCACTGCTCTAGTATTCTGTGAATGTTGTGATTTCGATATAAGTCCAATACACGATAAAAAATACAAATATCACTTTGTTGCTCTGGTCGGTGCCGTTGGACCAACGACAATGTGGCAGGGAGTGTTTGGTGAGATATTCTTAAATGATTGAAATGATTGTTTGTGTATAGCTTTACGCCGAGTCTGCAGATTTGTTCAGTTTTAATACAGAATATATAAGATTTATCACTACTGATTTTTGTTGCTTTTCTTCCTTAATCCAGCTTAGACTGCAATCAAACACGATTCTTTTCAACTTTGAAAATATACACATCTAAAAATTATTATTTGTTCCTGTTGATCTGCTTATTCTCTAATGCTTTACTGTTAATTCTCTTAGGTTTTTTGTTTATTGACTAAATTTTTAATTCTTAACCATTTAATCTTTGAGGTTTTTCAACGGATCTGAAGATATCTACAGAACCTTGGAGGAATACAAAAATGGATTTGGAAAACTGAAAGCTGAGTCTTGGTTAAGTAAGACGAACTAACAGCATTTCGTTTGCTATCCCTGATCGTCATTTATAAAATTTATTTAAGTTAAAACGTTAATTTTTTAATACAAAACCAATAATGAAAATACATGATTACACATTGAGCATGCACAATTCACGGTAGCTCAGTCGGTAGAGCGCTCGCTTCGTGATCGGGAGGTCGTGCGTTCGAATCTCGGCCGCGACTGACCTAAGTCGATAAAAATGGGTAGCAAGTTCCTTCACCATGCGCTTGGCACTTTGAAGTGGCCCCGTGTCACGGCGGGCGTTGGCACGATAAAGATCCCTCACTGCTCAGTGTCCCTGAAGGCCGGGTAAAGGTCAAAATTTGAAGCACTTCACCGGTATATGGTGACGTCTCTATACGAGTGAAAAATTCTCGAATGAGACGTAAAACAACATACAATCAATCACTGATAAAAAATGAATTTCAAGAAATAATTGATTCAATGACCATAAAATTCCAACAAACAATAAGCATTCTCAAACATATGATCAGCATTTTTAGCTATCAATTCACCTTATTGTAATTTTGGCCAATGTTCTTTTTTCTCAGATATAATTACTTTGGCTCAAATACGGATTGACTTGTTTATACTATTTCCTTTTAAATTTATTATGAAAGTATTAGAAGAAAACCAATCGTACACATTTAGGACTGAAATGCTTAAATCAAATTTTGATAATCATTGTGCTATAAAGGTACTCTTTCTGTAGCAAAGGAAACATAAATACTGCTACCGGTAGAATTAGGTAATTATTTAGCATAATGTCATTCCTGTAGCAAACCTAAACACTACATTCGGTAGCATTGTGGTAATTATTAAGCATGATATCATTCCTGTAGCAAGACTAAGATTAATACTACTTCCGGTAGTATTGAGGAGTTTAATCACTAATTGGTCGACATAACTTGCATACTTGGCAAGCAGTTAGTTCATATTAGTATTGTTTACGGATTTTTTAAGATCCATCACTGTTCGTTATCTTCAACTTTTATATTATAATAATTGAGCATGGATCCTTGCTGGTGGACCTCGAGGATACTTGTCGCTCAGATTATTTTCTACTCTTAACATTAAAAAGATGAACGATTCCATACTGGCTGGCGCTCAGTTTAAAAAGGTGTCAAACTGCAGAGTCTAAAAGGGCCACAGCTAGGCTCTGACAGAATTGGACATCCGCAATTTATCTTATATACAGTCAGCAGATAACCAGCTTTGGTATTAAACCAACCCTACCTTTACTTAAATTAAAGATTGTAAGGTTTCAATCCAAAATATTTTTGACGATTCTTTATCGGACCCCATGTGTTCCGTTTCTAAATGTTCTACAAAAATTGCAAAACCTGTAATATTTTGATAACAAATCCTTCCTTTTACAGCAACCTTACTGAACAGAGATTTTATACTAAGACTGCGAAAATATGACTTATAAATCTTCAAACGTTGTCTGTGGAATTGAGTGTACACTATGCAGACTAATTTATATTGGGGAAACAAAACTCAACTAGAGAATGCCAGGCCATAGTTTTGAAATAAATAATGGGGTCATCAACATCTTTCTAAACATTTTAATTTTTCTAACCACTCTATTCTTAAAATATGGGTTAGAATTTTGGAAAATATGTATCATCCAACTAACAGTCTTACTCTGAGTACAACGTGAAGAATACTGGATCAGAAAACTAGGCACTGCCTAGTGTTTTTAATCTGAATTGATTACGGAATTTTCGGTCTACCTGATCAATAGACAGGGCTCACGGCGGATGTGACCGGTCAACAGGGGATGCTTACTCCTCCTAGGCACCTGATCCCACCTCTGGAATTTCCAGAGGTCCTTGTTATGCTCTCTTCACATTACTGTATTGTTTATGGATTTTTTTGAGATCAATCACTGTTCGTTATCTTCTCCTTGTACATCAGCAAGCTAAGCATTTATGAAAATTCATCAGGAGTAATACACATCAACAGAAAAAAACAGCTTCCATCTTTATACTCAAATAGCTTCTGAACTGTAGTTCTCTGGTTGGGGAAATTTGAACAGATAAAATAGGGCTTTTTCAGTCCGAATTTTCTTAACAAGAGAGCTTCTCTACTAGTGAAGATCCTTTTTATCCAAAGCTAAAATGTACCTAGGTATTGACATATCATAGTTTGTCTTTTAAATGAATGATGTAATTTTAATGACCAATTGACTGTATTTGTATGATATACATTATCAACACACTGAATAGTTATTTAAAATGATAAAGGCAATGTCCACTTTCAAGTAAACAATTACATATCATTCCATATTAATCTTCACAATCAATAATTTTCGTTAAAACGAGTTTTTGAACCTTACTTCCTCTAAAAATGTGATTAAAATGAAGTCATATATATTACCAAAGCGTAATAAAATAAGGTGCATTTTAAACAGTGATTCAAACAAAAACACTTTATATCCAATTAAAGACAAATGATGGCAATAAACTTTTTAAAAATAATCTTAAAAATAACAACTTACATCAATTTTATATAAGTAGTTATCGCATAATCTTTTTATCTTCATTCCAATTTTCACAATAACTGGATTTGAAGTTTAAAAAAGGTTGCATAGAAAAAAGGATGCAGAAAAGTTAAATTTTGAACATCGTAGAAAGTTTTCAATTTCTTAATATTTTAGGAATCTAGTATTCAAATCAATAGGTTAAAAAATATACACATCCATTTTTTTGTTTGTATTACATGTCTTTAAAAAAACAACCAATTGTAGCCCTTTATTATAGGAAAAAAAGAAAATGTGAATGAATCATTCCTCCATAATGAATCTAGCACCATAAAAATCCTTTAAACTCAATTATAAAAAACTTAACCTAAAAAAATTCTCCCAAAGTAATTTTTATACTTACAAAGAAATAATAGGAAGTTATAAGCAAGAAACGTTTTCAAAAAAAATGTAATCAATTAAATTTTAAGGAAGATTTTATTGAGGGTATAGAGGCAAGTAAATTCTTTTAAAATAAAAATCAATTGCTAGGAATATCTGTAAAGGCTAGCGCTGTGATGGAAAGATTCATGTATATACAAAAATTAAAATAACATGATTTTTTTCACCAGATATTAAAAAAATATATTGATTAACATGTAAAACTTGGGGATAATTCTTCAAGGACAGGTAAAAATTAATGAGAACTGAACACATTCCACAATTCCGTATATGTAGTACAATGTAATAAATGAGAATTTTGCGATGATTAACTATATTAAATATTCTTAACATATCCAATTTCACGCCATGGAATCAGATGTTATTAGATATAAATAGCTTAATTAAAACTTGTCAAGCACGATTTCACCTTTTTTAGCCAACTCAAAAAGATCGATTGCTCTTTTTATATCGACTGCAATGCAGTGAGCGTCATCAACGTCTTCTAAATTCTCTTCATCTGATTCACAGGTTGTATAAACCGTCAAATCATCACCAAACACTACCCCAATGGCAATCAACTCACGACCCATTTGTGTGAAAACAATCGCGCCGCTATCACCTTGATCGGAGAACTGTTTTTCCCCATGCCATGGTTCAATAAACATGACATCAGCACCCAGTAACTTTGATTTTTTCGCGCATTTTAGGCAGCCGTATGTCTTATTTGTTTTTGCACCAAATTTAAACACTTTACGGTTGTTTAAGTCTTCTAAATCAACTGTTGGCAATTTCACTTTAAATTCAGGCATTCTGTATTCGATACTGTTCGAAATTCCATCATCTAGTATAATCACAGAGATGTCCTCAATATTCGCTTTTAACGATGCATCCGTTGAGGTTTCTGGCCAAATGCATTGTCCAATTTTGCGGTCATTTTTGCCTCCTAATGCGGCCATTATTTTATTCCCACTAGTTGCAATGTGACCAGAAGATATCGCTATGATTTTTTCAATTTTGTTTTCGGTTGAAAGTTTTGCAAACATACCAAGGGTACCAGAAACTGATCCTATTGTCAACTCACACCCACCTTTGAGACCAGAGAATGGCATAATGTATGGCTTTTGAAGAAGTTGCGCAATAATTCGGCCTCGAAAACTTTCATTTAGCATATCGCGAACTTTTTTTACCAATGCCAGAGAACACGATTTTATTTCACTTCCTGCAAATAGTTTAAGTACTTTTTCAAATAAAGCGTATCCTATCACATGAAACTCTGGTGTTGTTTCCCTGAAAAATAATATTTGATTAGGTAATGATATAAATATATGAACATGGTATAGCAATGTTATAAAGAATTACTTGCAATACTGGACCTAATTTTTCCATTATTCATCTCAAGCCTCTCTAGAAATGTAGTGTTCAATGTTTTATAAAAATAATTTCCAGGGAAGCCCCAGAATCCCATCAAAAGAAGGGAACAAGAGGCCCAAGGGCCACATCGCTCACCTGAGCACTGTGGCTAGGAAAAAAGGAAAAATCAGTTTAGTATTGAAAAGCTTAAATGCATAAGTGGTCCCAACCTACCCCTATGAAGGGAGTAGGGGGGGGGTCATGATTTGAACAAACTTGAATCTACACTATCTGAGGATGCTTCCGTATAAATATGACAAACCGTGGCTTTGCTGTTCTTGAGATTTTTAAAGATTTTTCCTATATATTCCTATGTAAAACTTTGATCGTTCATTGTGGCCCCACCCTACCCCCGGGGGTCATGATTTGAACAAACTTGAATCTACACCACCTGAGGATGCTTCCACATAAATATGACCAATCATAGCTTTGCTGTTCTTGAGAAGAAGATTTTTGAAGATTTTTCCTATGTACACCTATGTTAAACATTGATCGTCCATTTTGGCCCCACCCTACCCCCAGGGGTCATGATTTGAACAAACTTGAATCTACACCACCTGAGGATGCTTCCATATAAATATGTCCAATCATAGCTTTGCTGTTCTTGAGAAGAAGATTTTTGAAGATTTTTCCTATATATTCCTATGTAAAACTTTGATCGTCCATTTTGGCCCCACCCTACCCCCTGGGGTCATGATTTGAACAAACTTGAATCTACACCACCTGAGGATGATTTCATATAAATATGACCAATCATAGCTTTGCTGTTCTTGAGAAGAAGATTTTTGAAGATTTTCCCTATATATTCCTATGTAAAACTTTGATCGTCCATTGTGGCCCCACCCTACCCCCGGGGGTCATGATTTGAACAAACTTGAATCTACACTACCTGACAATAATTCCACATGAGTTTCATCTTTCCTTTCCCACTGGTTCTTGAGAAGAAGATTTTTCAATAATGCCATTAATTTTTTGCTATTTCGTAATTATCTCCCCTTGGAGGAGGGTGTGGCCCTTCATTTGAACAAACTTGAAACCCCTTCACCCAAGGATACTTTGTGCCAAGTTTGATTGAAATTGGCCTAGTAGTTCTGGAGAAGAAGATGAAAATGTGAAAAGTTTACGACAACAACGACGCAGACGACGCCGACGACAGACAACGGACAAATTTTGATCAGAAAAGCTCACTTGAGCCTTCGGCTCAGGTGAGCTAAAAACCCCTTTTGCACTATTCCTCTCATAGCTTTGCAACTCGGCTAGTTGCCTTCAGCACTCAACCAACATATCTGCTCAAAATATCAGGACTTGAAATTTTACTATCCACATTTAAACTCAAAACAATTTAACTGTCCATATTTGTACAGCAATTTATCAATTTCTAGAACATAATCTTTGTCTTACTATACCTTGTTATTCGCCTTGAAGAAGAGATATTGCTAATAAGGGCCTTTTGGTATATCGGTCGGGAGCCAAATGTTGCCCGTTAAAATTTTGAGAACCCTTAGCATGACAGACATCAAAACTTAGTATATTGGTTACTACTTAGAGTAGATAACCCCTAATGATTTTGAAGACAAAAGATCAACCTACTCTGGACATATGAAGATTTTTGTTCGTTCAACATTCTGAGAAACACTTGCTTGAAAAACTTCAAGCTATGTACATTAGTTTTACTTAAAGAAAAAATGACCCTTTTTTATTGAGAAAACACGATAAAAGATATTTGGTGAAATAAGATATAGGAAAATATTAAGAAATATATCTTGAAAACCCTTTGCTTGTTAGATATTAAACGGAGTACGCTGGGCTTTTTTTTATTAGGTAGTACATGAATATAACCTCTATTGATTTTGAAGTCCAAAGGTCAATGAACAAACTGGATATGGGGAGATATTGATAGCTCAATATTATAAGAACGCTCTGCATACAAACGTCACACTTTTTAATTGTTTCTCTTCAAGGAAAAGATGAACCCTATTGATTTTGGAATCTAAAAGTCAAAGATCAATGTTCAATATCTTGAAAACAAAACATTTGATTTGACATGAATCAAACTCGGTGGTGACTCCACTGAATGTCAAAAGATAACAGATCGAACTAAAATTCGGAAAAAGATACTGACTTAAACACTCAATATCTCTTAGAACCCTTTGCTTGTCAGACTTCAACCTTGATACACTGGTTCTCATGTAAGTGTATATAATCCCTATTGATCCTGACGGAGTCAATAGGTCAATTATCGAGCTGAGGATGGAAGATATTGATCACTCAACAATAAGATTCAAGGCAAGGTATTTGGTTTCCGATAAGAATAAATAGACTTTTTGTACTTGAGGCCACAACTCAGTGATCAAACGGGACCACAGGAATATTTCGACAATTCAGTATCTTGCGAACCATTTGCTTGACATTCATAAAAAATTGGTTTCCCCTAAGAAGTACATGTCCACTGCTCATTCTGATGTGAAAAAGTCAATCAATTTGTTTGTTTGTTTCTTTATTATTTAATGTCCCCCTCGAGAATTTTTCACCCATATGAAGACGCCACCACTTGCCGCGGTGGAGAGATGCAAATGTTGACCTATATTCGGTACTCAGGGCCATTGAGCAGAGAGGATTCTTTTTCGTGCCAGCACCTACCGAGACACGGGACCTCGCTTTATACGGTCTCATCCGTAGGACCGGTCTCCACGTCCCACAGGATTAATTTTTACTCCGCGACCCTAGAACGAACGCTCTAACCACTGCGCCACGCGGGCGACTGAAAAGGTCAAGGATCAAACTCGAAGGTTCTAAAATAGGAAGAAATTTACCACTCAATATCTTAATAACCCTTTACATTACAGCGATCAAACCTGGTACATTGGATCACCGTAAGAAGTGGATGACTACTTTTGCTCAAGAGATCAGAAGATTAAAAATCAAATTAGATATACGATACTGAAAACCCAATACTTTAAGGTTTCCCAGGTTAATGGTAAATCTTGCGTAAAAACTTCTGCTCAAAATATCCCTTTAGATTCCTGATAGTTATTTGCTCCTTTGAAATTTAGCAATTAATAAAACGTGAAAAACTCCAAGCGAATTGAGAACGATGCATTTTTAACTTAAACTGTGGATTACCGAGAATCAAAGAGTGAGGTGAAGTAGAAGACAAATTTACATTTAGGCACAAATCCTACCTCTGGAATTTCCAGGGGTCCATGTTTATTCTCTCTTCACAGTTTTGTATTTTTTATGGATTTTTTTTTAAATTGATCACTGTTTGTTTTCTTCACCCTTCTCATTTAATTAGCGCGATCGAAATACATTTAACCTACTTACAATTATATGTATTTAAGAATGTCTAAAACTATATTACTTACTCTACTACCCTCTCAACTGTGTCTACGACTCCCTTGCTTACACTGGACGGATTTATGCTGTTTTTGATCGTGCTTTCATACTTTCGAAGTAGTTTTAGGCAATGCGAATTATTTCTCGTTTTTGGTTTTTTTGATAATATCTCTATGTATTCCTGAACTTTTTCTGATACTATTTTGTTGCAGATATCATAAAAGGTGTCAGATGTTTCTTTGTCTTTGCTCAGTATATTTACGCTTTGCCATTTAAAGTTCAGGTTCTCTATTTCTGCTTTCTTAGAGTGGTCTTCGAGTAAGAAAAATAAATAGCTGTCGTCCAATGTTGCATTGGATAAAAGATCACTTATTTCCTGCAAAGAAGAAACCATAGAAAGGTTAGGAAATACGTGTGTTTATGTAAAGATTAGAGTTTAAAATCCGTGTAGATTCTTTTTCCATTACCTTTTGTAGAAAAGTGAAATGCCTACAATCAACAATCAGTGGTTTTGGTTGACGTAGCTCTGAAAGATAAACATGAAGGATTAAGGAAAATTATTCGGTAAACAAATGGGAAGGAATCGAAAAATAATAGAAAAACAGTTAACATTCTAAAAACTGTTAAATTTTTTCTAAACATTAGTATGAGAAGCATGCCTTCATGAAGGTTTTCGATCGATATTTCTGTACATGTTGGTATGGAAGAAAACAAGTCCAGACAGCGTTGTTCAATGTCTTCTTCAACATCTGCGAATAAGAGAAAACTGTCGTCGGGCTCTTTCAACAATTTTGACAGACCAGACAGTTTCCAGATGTACTTTAAACCTTCGAACACGTATTGGTATGTATTTAACTGTATAGGTCCAAATTCAAATGATATTTTTAGTATCTTGATCTGGTCTTTCGTTGAAGTCGTTCTGTATATTACAAATAATACAGTATTTTGAAAATGATAAAAATAAAGAATAAACAAATTAAAACTTAATTGCAACAAGATGACACTTCTTAACCTACCTCTTAGTATGTTGGCTCTTCTCGACTTTAGGCTTCTTTGGTAAAGTAGTAGTTTCTTCCTCTTCAATTACAGAGTTAAAAACATTACACAAAATCATTGATTGTCTTTAGTCTGTAGACCTGCCTACCCGTTTAATTGCAAGGGTGTAAATTCAATACTCATTTTGGTGGAATTTCAGAGGTAAAGGCGTAATCCTTCATGTTTCCCTAGCTAGTTTGACGTTTTGCAATGATACCATAAATAAACCCAATTGTTCATCATTGAACAAAGCAAGCATGAATGTTTCTTATTCAAATCATTTACTGACACAAAATCCATGAGTTGTGAACTAGTATTCTTAAATGCAGTCATATCAAAAATTTGATTTATTTCTAGCGAATCACATAATTCATTTTAACATTTCCATGTTACAGGTAATACAAATTGTACATTATTGCACGTCGTTTTTTTTTTAAATTTACATTTACTTCTCTCCATGTTGTATTAAGCAATATAAGAACAAGCTATTTGCACATATCATTCAATAATTTCTAATTTTTGACAGCCACACTGACATAGCTCAATCATTGGAGCGCTCGCTCCGTGATCGAAATGTTTTGAGTTCGAACCTGGGCCGCGACTGACTGAAGTCGATAAAAAATTGGTAGCAACTGTTCCATTGCCAAGCGCTTGGCGGGTCCTTCGGATGAGACCTTCTCACGGCAGTCGTTGGCACGATGAATCGCCCCAGTGCCGAGTAAAGGTCTAAATTTGAAGCCTTTTCCCGGACTATGGTTACTTCTCTATATGATTAAAAATTCTCGAATGGGGCGTACAATCATTGACATGCCATCCATTTAAAAGCTATAACATTACGTAGGTTGTATCGTTATTAATCATATCGTGAAGAACCGAAACCCTTTATTAATTACTATTTTCAGCTTCTCGTTTTCATTTAAGAACTTTAACTTCCAATTTAGCCTTTTATTAAGAAGTTTTTAAGGTAAAATATGTAAAGGCGTAAATTTTTTCTATGGTGAAACAGCGTAATTTGTAGTAAAAACCGGAAGCATTACGCCAAAAGTGGAAGTGACACTGTCTGTCCTTATTTTTTCTAATCGATTAACATGTGCAATTTTTAACAGCCTCCTATGACTTAAGATTCGAAAACAGAGAAGAAATTTGCTTATGTTTTAATTTATAATAATCTTTAACGTCCTCTAAAATCATCCTTATAAATTCATGTGAAAAGGCAAGGTTATGTAGTATGTTTCAATGTAATATACCAAAACGGGAAAAAAATGTTATTATAACTGTAAGTTCAGTTGCTCGTGGGAAGGGGGTTGCAGTTGTTCAAATAATGTGAACTTACCATTTTTTCTCCTTTTGGCCACTCGCATTATGTATCTTCTTCCTGATCGCTTTGCTGTGAATACGACTTATTTTCTCTGAAAATTTAATTGGACACACAATGTACATTTTATATTAGTTTCGTTCTTCAATTGAGTAACATTTTCCAAACCACCAGAGCTGTAGCTCGAAATGTTACGTTGCTCCCTAAAAAAAGTTTGTGTTTAATCTTTGTTTACCCGTCTCAACGTACTTAATTGTCAAAATGACATTTTAGTTTTAAAACCCTTAATCGGTAACATCTAGACTATATTGCAGGATTCATTAGGGTCATTATACCCCCCGCAAACGAAGTTTGGGGGGTATATTGGAATCAGCATGTCCGTCTGTCTGAAGACGTGATTTTGTCTGAACCTTTTCTCGGAGACTATTGCATGGATTTTTCAGAAAATTTGTACAGTAATTATTCACCATATGAAGGTGTGTACCTGGAATTTTCATCATGATTGGAATTTTTTTTTTGGGGGGGGGGGCATTTTACAGGTGTGTTTTTTTTTCATTTTTATTGACTTATTCATTTTGAGTTCGTGTAAGTTTGAGACATAGAATCTAGAACTGCCAGTTGGTACATCTGTATAAAAATGTGAATTGCAGCTTAACACTACTCATTAAAACTCAAAAAAAAAATCACCAAGTATTAAAAAAATTGTTTGGAAGATAATCCATACAATTCATAGAGTCACATACAGTAACCTTATTTTAAAAAGTTGCATCAAGATTACAGAGTTCTTTTTTTATTACATTAAAATTTGTTACAAATTTTAAAAGTTTTGTTTTCAATGGAATGACCATAAACATACATTTTCTATTGTGTGACAGATCAGATAGTGCAAATCTATTTGTCCCTTGGGAGTATTGAGTGGACATGCATCCAATTGAAGATTAATTAATGAGTTCAGAGTGTAAAACTGTTAAGACACTCTCTGATCTAGCATGCGTTATCTATTATATCTCCTGGGAATTGGGCAGAAAAATGAAAGATCTCTGTTCTCTAACTCTCTTATTTGTAATTTATATTAGTCTAGCTGTCAAATAAAAATACTTAGTTACTGGATGACCAGCATTTTATTTTTATTTGTAACAATGATTATTATTATTGATTTTTTTTGGCTGCACCTCATTCATCATTCATTAAAAATATAATGATCAATGAAATTTTTAATGTTAATGTTTAAACGAATTGTGAACACCTCTTAGAGCCATAAAATATGTTCAGTGACTGGGCACCTTTTCTGAAAAAACCCGGAGGGGGGGGGTCCATTTTGGACAGTTCTAGTTTTCTATGTGGCTCAATCTTTTTGAAATAATATCAGAATAATGAACTTTCCTGTTATTAAAAAAACATGTTTAAGATAGTGGTACCGAATAACCTTGCAAAAAATTAGCTGAAAAGCTGAATTAAAATTTTCTGAAAAAATAACAAGAAAATAGAATGACACTGTACCTTTTTCGCCACCGCTCATTTATTTCAATCATTACTATACACAACTTTTTTTTACACTTGTTATAAATAAGTAATTGAGATGTACAAAATGTTACATGTATATTTTATCTGATATCATGCTTTAATCAGGGAGTAGGACAAGTACTAGAATGACATCAGCATACAAACATAACAGAACTTCAAATACAAGACACCCAAATGGTATGCAAAATTGATAATTTGTTGTAATCCTGTTATCTACTATTAGATGACTGCGGGTATATGTAAATATAAATTGTTAAGTATCTTTAGCATATCGCAAATGTGCTTGATAAGAGACATATTACGAATTCTGACCTGATAATGATTCAGGAGATAACATCATTTAACACAAATTCTGTCTGTTGCGTCAGTCAACCTTACATGTATTTTAGAGAATTTTACATAAACGCTTAAACGCTTACATAAACGCGGGAAAATGAATAATGAATATTTTTGCTGTTTAAAAATAAAGGAAATCTTAAAACACATTCAGTCTAAAAATCGATTTTTTTTTTCAAAAGAAATTGATATTGTCTACAAACTTCTTTACTTAAGTCATTTTGACACATCACACTGATAAGAAGATTAGTAGAGTAGTGGTTGGCGCCTTTATGAAAAATAAAAAAAACCCCACAAAACAAAATGCTTTTATCAGATCTATACCGTGTGCCTTGGAGAAAGTTTGAATCCTGTTAGGGATTCTTTTTTGTCTTTTTAAATCCACATACCTATAAATAACTTAAAAACATAATTTCTATCAATAAATTGAGACAAAAAATGGAACCAAATACTGACAACACATTTTTTAAAAATTCTTTTTTCAAGAACTTAAGTACATAAAGTCCACGCCTTCTATGCCTCCATATATTCTTTTCCCTGGTGAATTGTACGAGGCTTGCGTAAACCCCTTCAAATTTTAATTTTGTTCTGTTAGAATACATGTACATAAACGTAAATAAATATGCATATAGATTTTTGCTTGAAAATGTCAATGTTAAAGCGTTATACACCAATTTAATAACATAATTCAATGAAGTTTTTGGGACGTGCATAATAAATTAAACGTGTACAGGTGTCTGCAGTTTATTTTAACTCCATAAAATGAATAATTCAGTGTAAATTCTTAAAAACGTTTCAAACACCTTTATACGGCGCTCCTCTGTCCTCAAACGCTACATGTCCTTGTATACAAATTAAAATGTTCTCAGGAATAAGAATTGGGTCCAGGATATTTTTCTGGTTGGGGTCCACATATCAGACTAAGAATTTTTTGACAAGCAAGCAAAGAAACAAAACAAAACAAATAAAAACCTAAAACTAAACAAAAAAAAATAATGTATATATAGATGACGCAGCAGGAAATGCATTTTTAATTAATGGATGGTTTAGTGTAGATGATGTAAATCGCCCTCCGTTAGTAGATAAATTAAACTACTGAAATTAAAGAATAATGTATTTTGTCTGAAATTATTGAAAATAAAACCTTCTTGTCGATGTGGTAACGATTTGTAATACAAGAAATCTAACATAAACGAAGCCATTCATCTTTTAATGTATTGTACAGTCTTTTACACCACTTGCGATCTTTCAGGAGAGAAAAATTCCACGATTTTTTCTCAACCTGGTTTTTTGTGCAGTCCAACCCTGTTAAGAGTGTCCGAATTTCCGGCATGATAAACATTATATATATATATATATATATATATATATATATAAAGATTTCTGTAATGGATAAATAACGAGATGGTGTTGAATAGTTTAGAAAAAGCATTCCCTCCAAGGGCCGAAGGCACGGGGAGGGGATGTTTTCCCTAAACTATTCAACAGTATCGAGCTACTTATCTTACTTAAAAAACTTCCCCACTTTGGACCCCAAAGAAACATTTACCCATTCATATATCCAACTTATCTGTAATATAATGGGATCTAGCGCATTTAGATATCCAACAGTGACACAATACAATCACCTAATCGAACACCCCTTTCGTTCAGGGACTTTTCCATTGTTCTGAACAGTCATGAAATAAGATAAAGAATAGTTTTAAATCCAAAGTAAATTAAGAGAGGTTCAGATAGTGTTTTGAATACTTTTCACCTGAAAGCAGAAGAAAACTACAGAATTTTGATAAAAGGTTGGAAATCTATCATTACATATGAGATGATGATTTGTTGAGGAAAAGTGTTGGAATCTTATGGAGTTCCATTCAGACAATACTTATAGTAGTGCTAAAACAGATGAAAAGATTGTCGGTGTTATTCGGAACCTGCTTTAAAACATGATTGTGACGTAAACCTTTTGATTGTGTTGTCCATTCTATAGCCTAATGTTGAGCCTGTAAGTGTCCATTCTTTTTGGAAAACTAATCATTCTTTTAAGAATGGACAGGTTTTTTTTCCAAAAAGAATTGACAGTTAAAACAAACAGAATGGAGAGTTACAGGTAAACTTTGGAATGTGTTCAAGAGAGAAACAAAACAAATACATTAAATACTCTTTAATTTACATGTAAATAACAAAAAAGAACGCGGAGATCTAAGTTAATCCACACAGCATCCACTCGATTTTACTCTTTTAAATCCATGAATAATGCATTTTAATGCTCAAAACTTAATTTTCACAAAATTTGAATTCAAATGACACAATTTCACATTTGCATAAAATTTCGGAAAAATCATTCCCTCGAGTAGAATTTTAGATAGAAGTACGTTTTATATTAAATCCTCCATCCAGAAAACAGTTTGCACCATAAACACTACACTGCTGCAGGTAATATTTCGGAAGAAAATAAATAAAAATGAAACATTTCCAAAAAAACATTTTCAGGTCGAAGATTGGCTCATGGCTAATCCAACACTCAAAACACAATTTGCATCTCACTATTACACTGCTGCAGTTAATATATCCTCAAAAATAGAATTCAAATAAAACATTTCCAGGTTTGATTCAAATTTGATCATCTGTATCGATCTGTCGTCGAAGTTCATTTTTGGGTCAAAAGTTGGCTAATATTTCTTTTACTCTTCTGTTTCCAGATCCAAATATCACCAATTCTGTGCATATTTTGGTTTGTTAGATGTTGATTTTGTCATATACTCTTTCCATCACAGGAAAACATGTATACCTTTACAATGCAAACTGTAAAGTGATTTTGAAGCATCGCATACTTGTATAAATACTTCTATCCCACAAAATCTACCTGTAACTGCCCATTCTTAGGACAAATACCTTTTGTTATTTGCATCTGGAAACACAATGGCTCTTCAAAAAATTGCTCTGCATTCCTAGCTTATCTGTGACTGTCCATTCTGTAAACAATGAACTTGTCATTGTATGTGTACTACCTGTCATATCTCGATTAGTTCTTTTTTCTCACAGAATGGACAGTTTTGTAGGCCCTCGATTAGTTCTTTTTCTCACAGAATAGACAGTTTTCGGCCTTTCTCCTTTACTTAAAAATATTCCATATCAAGATCTGGTGACAAAAAATAGATGGGCTGTCAATTTATTAAATTTTGGGAAGTACAG